GTCCTGTGCAGTCTAAACCTGGCTATATACTGTTCCCTGGTAAATTCAATTATTTTGATATATAAATCCCTCAAACCTAAAATGGACTGTTCTGAATTCAAAGCAGGGCAAGTCCATTACAGTTCATTCAGCACGGTCAGGGTGAAAAAGCAGACGCAACAAATCACTTTATTTCTCAACGGAATTTGCATGTGTCCATTTTTTTCTCTCTTTTATTTCGACACCACTAAATGAATTATAGCAATCACATGACCTTAGACATAAAATATCAATCTCGGAAAAACAATGGCTCAAATATTTCATAAATATTTTATGTTGTCGGCTTTTTAAAACAGCAGCATTTAATCCAATTGTCTGTCGACAGATTTTCTGTTCTGTTCTTGAGAAAATTGAATTCAAACGCAAACCTAATGAGCAAATTGAATTCTAACACAATTTTACATGTCTGATTAATAGACTACCATCCGGTCTGAATCTGTATGGGTTTTTTGTTGGGTTTTTTTAGGGGTTTTTTTTGGTGTTGTTGTGTTGTTTTGTTTTTTTTTTGGGGGGGGGGAATTGGGGGAGGGGGGGTTTACAGGTGCATTTTTTTAATGAAGTAACTGTTCTGTATTATAAATGGGGGGATGAAACTAATCATTCCAGCAAATAAGAGGTCTTGAACTTATAGGTGTTTATTTGCAAAAGTTTGCAAATTTAATGGTTTGCATACCTTAATCATCATCAAGCAATCTCAAGGTTTCTACATTGTTACCATATGTTTTACCTCAGAACATATCACCTCTGCCTAATATTTACTTCTATTATTTCAATCAAAGCAATGCACTTGAGCCACAATAACTTTCTTCTTTTTTTCTTCAAAAAATCAAGTTGAACCTAAATTGTTTATTTTGGCTTTTTCTACTTTATGACAACAGTTTCAGTGAACTCGGCAAAACAGTTGGCAAATCCTTGTCAGGAAAAGTAATCAAAAGCTCTAAATAACTAGAACCTCAATCTTGATGAACAAACAATGTGCCAAATTACATCACAAGGAGAGAGATAGAAAAAAAAGTAAGACATGATCTGATGGAAAAGTAGTTCCTAAGATTCCCAAAAACTTTTCGCTATATATCGAAACAATATATGTTTCTGGTCCACCCTAAAAGAAAATTGCTTTATCATTCTCAATTTAACTGTGAAGATGCAATCTTTTTATTTATCAGATATTTTAACTAACCTTTTTATTTAAAATCAGTAAGAAAGTTCAAAGTTGTCAGAAATAACACAAGGTTCAATTACAAATCTGGAGAAACAAACAATTCTTTTATTTGGCCTTACACAATATATTTTCTGGAAAGGAACCAAACCTATGTAGTTGAATGTTGCAGTTTCATAAAACCTTTATTACCTCACAAACATTTGTTACTAACAGTTGCATTACATCTAAGTGCTTATACTGAGGATATAAGTGCCCTACCGAAGGTGAACGAAATATTTATGTTATAACAGAACCTCTCTAGCGATTTCCTACAAAGCTTTAAGATCATCAAAAGATTATAGACATCTTGTGCTTTTTTTTTACCTCCTAATAAAATCAAAATGTCTTCTAGGTGTTTTTGTATGTAAATCAAATGAAATTACAAGTTCTAAGATAAAAGACGGATACATACAAATTGGAGATAATTTAAGTTGTCATTCTTAATTTTTGTGCCACCCACTTGTCTGCTTAGAAGACATATGCAAATAGACTCATTACTGGGGAACTAAATTCAGTTTTATTTTAAGGTACCCTTGACTTGTCTGATCGAAAAAAATGTTATACAATTCGATGCCAATTATTTGTTTCTCTTTCTTATCTAATACAATACAATCTGATTGAGAGTTGGTATGCAATGATGGAAAAAATAGCAGACCTAGGATCTGTAGACCTAATTTGGTCTTCTGCCATGATAACAGTACAGTGACACTTAGTTAATTAGCAAACTGTAGGGACTAAGGGATTTTGTACACTACAAGGATTTTGTACACTTTATCCGAGGTTTCTTATAACCAATATAAGGAGTTATCATCTTATAAACAACACTACATTTTCTTCTATGAACTTCTGGGTTCCATTTTTTGTTGTTGGAATCTTCCATTATCAATTTCAGGATTACCAGGATGGAAATTTGAAAATGGTCACTCAACAGTATAGAGCCTAGTCAGACTGCGCAGACTAGCCTAGTGCTTTACTAGTGGGAAAGGCTAGTCACTTCCCGCTCCAGTCGATTAGCTTAAGGGTTTAGGAAATTTGTCAATGTTCCATCTTTAGTGTACAGGATGACCTAAAATGCCCCACTCAGCATCACATAGGCACATGTATCTTTTAATTACTATGATCATTTTCACAGAAGAATAAAAGGGAAAAAAATATATCATGATGAAAAAATATGGTGCTGGAAGGATATAAAATGAGGGGAAATGGTTACACCTAGCAAGCTTCATGGGGTCCAAATTATATTGACACTGCAAGTGGAAATGTTGTCAATTTGAGATAGTGTTGTTTTTTTTTTCAGTCTGTAGTTATAAACAGCAACCAGTAATTTTTTAACTCATCAATCACTTTGATGTTGTTGTTCTTTTATCATCTTTGGCCCAGACAGACGAAGAAAAGTGTATAGCAGGAAAAAGTGTATTACGTAAATCTCTGGCAAATCATGGAAAATTATCTTAAAACGCCTTAATGGAACCCATACATCATCCGGTATCGGTGCAAACTTTCACTTATAGACTGGTACACAAGATTTCTAATCTGACTGACATGTCATCTTATCATATTGAAAATAATAATCCCTTCGAGATGGCAACCAGTCACATAATTTCCTACACACCTTATCAAACGTCAGCAAGTTCTTGTATAATTTGACACCTAGTGTTTTCCAGAGTCTCTAGATTTATTTTTTTCCAACGTATCTCTCTGTGCGCGTCTTTAAAGCACACAGAGGACGTCAACAGATTACCAAGACTGAATAAATCGTAGAGACTTAAGATAGAATCTAGGAAATAAGATTACTTTATAAAGCTATTTCTCCGCTATTATTGCCTCCGAGACAATATTACCTAAAGTAATCTATTGCCATTTGAAAATGGCCAATGAGAAGTTCAGGGCTAAACTGTTTTTGTAATAAAGAGAATGAAATCGAGACCAATTACATTTTAGCTGTTTTTAATAATTCTATCGATCCCCGAGAAATAAGTAGTATGTATCAGCTCGTAAATACCTAGGTAAAATTACAGAAAAAATGTATTTTTTGTGCCTATTCCAATCTTTTTACGCTTATTTTCGCAAGTGAAAGAGAACATTTCTCTTTTCCATCTGCTAATTTTTGCAAAGGTAACAGTGATATTATTCCAGAGTTTGATACTGGTACATTCATCTCACAGATACAGCAGCATTTCCAAGCCAAAGTTATGACCCTTATCAGATTTTGAAGGAAAGCATGAGAAATATTCACAGGTGTTTTATTTGTAAAAAGTATTGCGCCAATTCAGTAATATCTATTTGGCATTTTGTTAAGTCAGCTTTTTCTATAGAAATGAATTTGTTAATGATCACAATTATCTCCCCTGAAAGATTAAATTCCCTCCTAAGGGATGAAAATAACCCCTGCGCTTAAGGAAAAGAAAAGTCTCCATAGAAGATAAAATTACTATCCCTGAAGGTTCAAAACTACCTCTGCTTAGCAGTGAAATACCTTCCAGTAAACCCTCCAGTTAAGATTGAAATAACCTGCCTTTAAGGATGGAAATCATTCCCACATTTCAAAGAAATATATATCAAATGGACTTACAAATACTAACTTTGGATAGGTACAAACGGGCTTCAAACTGCCATTCACAACCAGAGTCATTTGCTTCTATTTTAGGAAAGTCACTCAAATGAAAATTTATCAACTATTTATGTAGGATCAATACATCTCTATTTTCTATTTTCACCCTTTTAAAGAGTGCTCAAGAAAATTTTCAGCCATTGTGTCCCCTAAAACCAGGAAGACTTTGCACTTCAGACCTGTAACTTTCATTCCAAAGTCTATTTCAGAAATCTCTAAAGAAATCTTCCATGAATATATTCTAAAATATGTTTTTTCTAACAAAATTTGCATAACTCTCCTTTATTACATTAATTTCCCTTTACAATTACATAGCTGTATGTACAGTGTAAAATTACGCCATTCATTTTCTCTCCTTTAAAATGGATGATGTTTCCACATCAATAGAAAAGTTAACCGATTTTACAAATCAATGACACCAAGAAAAACCGTTTATGCCCGCCAGCAGTTTCTAAGAATCTACAAAGATTTTCCTGCTGTTGCTATCTATCTATTACCTAGAGAAAATAATTTTCCAAGTATGTGTAATAAAGAGCTCATGTTGCAGAATATGAGAGGTACTTATATTCACTACACAGAATAATATCCAAGGCTTTCATGAACCATAAGCTTTTGTAATTAATGGGTCTAAAAAATCAAAATTAAATCAAGATTTACCTGATGTCAGCTAAATATCATTACCATGTATATTTTCTGGTAAAAAACAATAATTTAAACATAGTTAAACAAAACATTATTAAAGTTACATAACTGAAATGGCTGTGTTTCACACATTTTTGTGTTTTTGCCGTTTTTGACAAGCCCCAGTACAAGAAAATCAATATTAAAAGCAAACCTGACAAGTACCGATTCTGATTTATCTTCAGGAGTTTTGCATTTTAAATTTATTTGTTTAAAACTCTATTTGCACACAAAAACCTAACAGATTTAACTGGAACTGACCAGAACTGGTGACTTAAATTCAACATGACAAATTAAATTTGCATTCCTACCAAGAAATGGACTTCTTTTAATATTTAATATAATTATACATATGAGTTTTGAACATGCTGATCCATCTGAGATCAGAAGGGAAACTAGGTACAATCATTATATAACTTGAAAGTTAATAACAAGGTATTTGTTTAGTTCACATCAAAGAAAACTTACCAATTTCAGTGTTGAGTCCGGTTCCAATGACAATACCTCTAGCTTTACCAGCAGAAATATTAGTTCCCTGAAAATTTTAAAACAAAATCTTCAATTTACATACGTTATACTTAACAAGTATTCTAAAACTAACATTATGTATTATATAATCATTTACAGTCAAACCTAAACTTACAGGCCAGTCTTCACAGAAATGGAGTGGTCTTTAAAGACAGGTGGCTTTCTGTGAGACCCTTTATCAACAAGTGGTCTTTCTAAAAAGTTTTTCTGTATATTTATCATGGAAACATTTTATTCATAACAAATCCAGAATATGAAATCATTAGTCTGTGGTCATGTTACATCTAAATCTTCGTATTGAAATGCAAAAGTTCAATCTTCCACAACACCATGCTAAATAAGGTCAACAGGATGTATAACGATCATCAATGCTGCATTGGGTCAACAGGATGTATGTTTCATAGAAAAAGTTACATCCGGGTGGTAAAATTAAAAATTTCTATAATGCATCCATATACCCTCATTCATAAACTGTAACAAAAAACCTATCTTTACAAATTGAGAGAGACAGCTTCATTCATTTATTATTAACATATTGAGGTAAATTATCTTCTATAGGCTGAATCTAGTTTAATGATGACTTTTTTAGATATTCAAGGATTTATTCAAAAACTTTTGCACATCTATTCTCATAAAATTCTTGAGTTTATTAATGTTCACAGTGTTCTGTATGCAATAAACATCTTGCATCTCCTTTTTGTAGCTTATTTAATTTTTATAAGTGGGTTCTAAAGTTAAAAGAACCATTGTCTCAGCTGTAAGGCCAGCTTGCTAAAATGAAAGAATTCATCGTACCTATCAAACCTCAAATCAGGTATCAATATCATACCATATAATAAGCCTTAACCTGCTAAATATGAGTACTACTGAATTTGTTCAGCTATGAATTTTAAACTGTCCATTCAAAGTTTAAAGGATTTCAGAATTGATTTCAGTATCGAAACACAAAAGTTGAACGACCAACAGTATAGAGCCTGGTCAGACTGCACGAATATGCAGGCTGGCCTGGCTCTATACTGGCGGCAAAGCCAATCACTTCCAGTTAAAGCAGTTAAAGGCTAAAGCATAATCTTACAGAGAAGAGGATGTTTTTCTTGTCCTGGTTGACCGCACGTGGATCGGGGATCGGATCGGCATGCTTGAGTACACTGACACTCTCTCCAGTAAGAATAGACTGATCTATGCGAAGTGTAGTGGAATGCACTGCAGATACACGTATATCAGCAGGGATTTTGTCACCAACTGAAACATCAAAGACGCATGTTAGTATAAATGTAAATACACAAAAGATTTGTCATTGAATCAAACATCATTTATATAATGTACTGCCAGTGACATAGGCCCATCACAGCAAGACTTTAAAATCTAGCTTTCAACTTTACTATCTTTAGACAAACCAGGATTTGTTTTTTTCAGTTGGGTTATTAAATAAATATGACCTATGATACAAATATCACCTGCTTTTTTCCTAAGGGAAATTGAAATCTCCACTAAATACATTGCCCAATACCTGCTGGTTATCTTATATGGGTATGATACCTAGCTTTCTGGTTCCATTCAACTCTTTCATAACTTATTGAGTACAAGTTACAAAAATGCTGTAACAAACTCAACAAAAAAAGGTTGTATAGTTAAATCAGAAACCTTTAAACAAAGCATGTACTTCATCACCTGTCAATGACTTAATACACTTCTAAAGAATATACCTGATATTTCAACCAGATCTCCAGGAACAAGTAGACTTGCTCTAATTCGCTGGACACCTCGTCCACTCTTTCTGACAACTTTAGCAATCTCAGGCTCGTACTCCTTTAATGCTTCAATAGCGCTTTCAGCATTTCGTTCCTATAAAAAAAAAACAATAATAAATTCATATTAGTAACACATTAAAAAAAAAAAAATTCTTCTCCAAATCTGAAATATTTATATTGAACTTTTCCAAGCAAAGAGCGGATGCTAGTTTAAAATGGCATGGTTTACATTATTAATAACAGTACACACATTCACAATGTATATCATTTGAACTGCCTTTCATAATTAGGGGAACTTGTTTGTCACTCAACAGCAGATTAACTACCATTTTCACTGCACGAAAATTACGTAATACTTTATTATATAAATATAAAATGACTTTTCAGACTTCTATGAATTACCTGTCATTAACATCAAAAACCCACATTGTAACGAAGTAATCTGCACACCATCTTAACATATTATCACAATATTTGAACACAGTTTTCAATTTGCTTTTCGTAAATTACATTCTTACAGCAGATTTCTTGTTCCATTAAAAAAGTCTAAAAAAAACTTTGACAAGCAATCATGGAGCACGTTAGACAGAATGATAAGGCACAAATAATGGCACTAATAGGACATTTTGATCGTCTTATTCTGCTTTTTTTTTCTCTTTCTCTTTGCAATGCATTTTCGGCTTTGTTTTTTTTTTTAAGTGATCTTTCATTACTATGACAGGATGATAGAGTAAGACAAGTTGTTTTTGTTGGATTTTTTTTAATATTACTACATTTTTGAGAAGAGTTCTTAAACAGTAAACTAGGGAAAAAAGGCTCGCTATTCAAGAGGTAAAATAGAATCTTTATAAATTAAATGTAAAAGTTAAAAAAAGTAGAAAAACATGAAAACTTTTCTTGAAATTATAATACTATGAAATATCATCCAAGATTTTTCACTTTCCCTGGTATGATATCACAGACAATTTAATATGACTATTGATGTACACTCCTTATATCTATAGATTAAATTGCCCAGCAACAAATGGTGTTTATACAAATGCCATAAAGCTTTATATGCATTGTATTTATTATTTATTAAAAAAAAAATGGACACTGAGAAACAACAACCTCCCTCATGAAAAGCTTAATTGTCAAAAAATATCTTTCTTGATATTAAATCACTATTTCCCCCCATCACCAATACCTGTCCCCCCCCCACCCCATTCCGCTGCTTTCACAATTTAAATTTAATTTTCATGATAATGAGATCACACAAGTATGCCACTTTCATGGGAAATCACAATTTGCACTATATATATTATGTACATGTATAACCTGAGGAATAAATCACCCAGCAAATACTATTACTGCTCCTTTATTGATTGCCTGTTTATAGCTCTACGATTTACCTAGCAACCATTTATACAACAACCATTTTGTCTGCTAGATGTAACAAAAAACTCAAACATACGGTAATGTTATTGATGATATTGCAAATATTGTTAAAATCATTTGTTAAGAAAGTAGTGCACGGCATTCTATTCTTAAACCTTAAGAATTACAGAAGCTATTGGAACCCGACAAAAATAGCCCTTGCCAACAGTATATTAGTTATTAGAACCAGGTCAGTCTACAAATCTGTGATGACTGACCAGGCAGGTTCTATACTGCTGGCTATTCAGCTTTTAGTTTTGGACACCCTGATACCCCTTAAATTTATAATGGACAATTCTATAAATGGAAGTTGGACAAGTTCATTTAAGAAATACAGCAGGTTATAGGTAATGGTTTAATTTAAAATCATGACCAAGCAGAGTAAGTGTTAGAGAACGGCAATCAAGCTTGGAACCCCCCCCCCGGTCTGAGTCGTAACAGTCAGAGTGTTACGAAAGGGCCATGTGTTACGATTGGAACCATGTGTTCCCTCTAAAAGACATAAACCAGCGGCTTTATTAAAGAGCTCTCGTTTTGTTCGATACATTAACAATATCGGCATTTTCAACTATTAATATGCTAAGAGGCTTTTAATTTGTTTCTAATTAGAAGCGCACCTTATAACATGACAGTTAATCACAACTCTGCTGCAGCTTATTCTACAAAATGATTAAGTTACAACCGTTTTGCATTAAAACCCGCCGACAGATCAATGCCACTATGTTTGTAACGTTGTCAGGAAATTTGCTCATCCTGCGAAAGCGATTTTTAAAAGCAAATATCACTATAGTTGGTTTCCATCTAATAATTGTTGCAGAAATCAATACCTTCTTCAGCCAGGTAAAAATTTTAACAGATTTAATCTGACGAAAGAGAAAAGTGCTTTAATATCACTTTGTAACTAAGCACAGATTTTTTATGTCATTTGGTAAGGCAGCAGAGATATTTATGTCAGTTGATTAGAAAACAAAGATTTTAATGTCAACAGTTTTCTGCTAAGAAATCAAAGATTCTAAAGAAACTTCCAATTGGTTTATAAGGAAGCAAAGATTTTCAATGTAAATTGTTCACTTTAGAAAGATTTTAATAGCATCATTCTTAAAGCCATGTCAATTGTAAAGCAAAGATTTAAATGTCATTTTGTAATTTTGGCAGCAAAAAAGAATTTAATGTCAATTGGTTTAGAAGCAACAATTTTAATGCTGATTATTAACTTAAGAAAGATTTCAGTGTCATTTGATAAGAAGTCAAAGATTTTAGAAGCAATGTCTATTGGTAATTTAGAAAGCAAAGATTTTAATGTTAATTGGTTAAGAAGCAACAATTTTAATGTGAAGCAACAATTTTAATGTCATTTAGTAAGTAAGTTATTGAACTTGATTGCAATAGTGATGAGCGATGAATGCTTTATTAATGATATTACCAATTAGCAGTAAAGGTAAATCAAAGGTTCATTTGAATACTGCCTGATCTAAATAAAGAATAAAGCTGTATTATTTACATCACTTGTCATAACTGAATATGGTAACTCACCTACTCCCACAGACAATTTGACCATACATTAACACTGAATCATGCAATAAATACATTGTTTTGACAATATTTTTTTAGGGCATTCAATTACCCCCACAAAATTATCTCCCTCCATAAAATGATAATGTGATAATTTGCTTAAAGTTTGTCACTCTGAGACCAACCATTTACAACAAGCAGTGTAAAATATTTAAGGACAATCAACTAAATATTCAGTAAAAATTGGTCAGATGAGTGAAAATTGGTCATCGTTAAGCTTTATAATCTGTGGTATATACAAGTATAGAAGATTCATTAATTTTTTATAGGTAATGGTGAAAATAAGTCAATGTCAATGCATTCATTAGCATTGCATATATCTTTTGGACTATCAAAAGCTAAAATAACAATTTATTATATACATTAACAAACAGTTTAAGGTTGATTAAAATTGTTAACCTAATCCAAAATTTAAGTGAGATCCATTGTTATTATAGTTCCGTTTATCAAAATATATTATATTTATAAAGTAACACCTGCATTATTATATACCTATAACTAGTCTATGCAAATATTAAAACTGCCGACTATACTGTATATTAAATATACTAAACACAGAATTTGAAAGATTCAAATTTTTAAAAGGAGGTTTAATACATCTTTATGAGCTGATGAAAGCTAGTATTTACTTAATTCCAATGCAGGTTTAATTTGCCACTACCACCCACTCTTTCACTTGTAAAAACACAGTTTACCTTTTCAATTACGTACTTTAGAAAGTACCAGGTATGTTTGATTTGGAATATTTTTAACAAATTTATTTCATTTCTTTTTACAAATAAGGGCATATCTGGAGTATAAATCTGTAGGAGATGAAGATTGAACAAAATTATCAAAAATATCCAAAAGTCAATATTCATCAAGTATTTTGGACGGTTATTAACCAGATTCCGGACCGTTTTTGTAATTTAACCAAAACTACATATATTTTAGCATTTATATTTTTAGCATGCTCCAGTACTATTAACTTCATGCTATCAGGTATTTAATTAAAACTTTACATTTAATCAAAAATTTATACATAAAAGCACGTTTGGGTTCTATGAACTTAAGGCGATCAGGTTTTTACGATCACTTTATCGTGTCTATTGACGTCATGTCCTCGCGTAAGTATTCTATCTTTCTTACCATCATCGTTTACAGGTTTGCGACCCTGTTCATCTAAATATAATTCAATACTGTATATAACTATTTCAATGCAAAATTGTCACAACTCAATGGACTGCAATAACATGTTACCATAATGTTACCAAGGGCCTCTCTATTTAAAACAATACGTATATATTTATCTTTTTAACTGTTATTGGATATTTTTTAAGAAAATATTTTCAAGTTTAGACCCAATATTTGAGATTTATTCATCCTTTACATCTAACAGAATACTAGCAATCTACTTTAAATCAGCAATTTAACATTTGTATATTAAAATCTTTAAATAAATAAACACCTGCACAGTGCTAGAGGTAATATAAAAGAAAAGCTAGCCCAGTCTAAAACAAGAGCTCCCCTACTGGTCAATTTCAAAATTCTACAGTCAGAATCAACCAATCAGATTCTTGATTACAGACTGGTTCTCTATATGTTTTTAAAAATTCAGAAAATCCTTCTAATCCTTCAGATTTGTAAGAAATATCAATCTGACACCAATTCTTCCTTGTTGCTGTTAAAAATCAATTATAACTAAGGAAAGAAGAACTTTATTAACAAGAAAGATCAAAAGGCCTTATATAAAGTGAATTATTGAATAAAATCATGATTTATTGCATACTTTCTTTATTTGTTATCTTGTTATCTTCATGATAACTTACATTTTGAAATACTTCACATTTTATCAACTTTTCGCAATACGATAACAAATCTGATAAAGCCCTTCAAAGCTGATTTAGATGAGACAAAGGTTTTGAACACTTGATAAAATACTTTCGAATGACATGCTGTCCACCACGTCATGTAGGTTTATATAATCATTATTCATGGGTTATTAACGTAACTCTATAATGATTTTTTCCTACCTTTGCTTTAACATAGCCTACCTACTTTGCAAGGTTTGTCAGACTTGAACTGATCATTTTTTCTTGTATTCACCATTCGAATTTTGTCAGCAATTTCTTTTAGATTTTATATTTATTTTTGGCAAAATTTGAGTCATATGGCAAACTTTTAAACTTAGCTGGCTGAGAAGGACTGGTCACTGATATCTGCTGTATGTATTATTTCAGACACTTTGGGGCAACTCTGGGGTAAAACCATCAAAAACCTTGAGAAAACAGCTATATTAGCCTCAAACATCAAGATCAAGACTAACCTTAATGGTCCAATGTCTTCACTCTTATCAGTATATTAAAGAAATAGTTTGATGAATTATTGACAAACTATCTGGATTATTTGATCAAATTATTTAATCTACTGTATTAAATTGTGACTTTCAAATTCTCCTATACTGTGAGTTCATATTTTTTCCTTCTGATTATAATAATAAGACGAGATGATGGCAAAAAAAAATAACGAAAACAAGTGCATTATTTTATGATGCCAAAAGCTAAATTTAAGTCTACATTTTGCTTTTTGTGAACATCTTTTGTTTAGAATCATTATAGATAATTGATTCTATTTTCAGAATCATGACTGATTCTAAAGTTTCTATTTATAGCATAATTCCATTTCAAGTTATTGTATCAGTTGGTTTGGAAATTGTATTTATAGTAATAAAAATTTTATTTTTAGTAACAAAAATTCTACTTTTAGTAACGTTTCTATGCTTAATTTGCTAAAAAATATCACTGGGGTCAACTTACCTGCCATACTCCTACTACAGCATTGCATATTAAAATAACTAATATCACAAATGGTTCCACAAAGGCTGTTACTTGATCTTCATCTTCTTCAAACCAAGCTAATACCTGCAATAACAAAATCATTGTATAATCAGTGCATGTTATATCAAAACTTATAGCATAGCTAAAAATTGCCATTCCAAAAGCTATTGTAATGGGCTGCAATGGCAAGTTATTGTATACCTAGTGAATGCAATATTCAAAATTATAGTATAGCTAAAGATTGGCATACCAACAAGAGCTGTCACAGGAGACAGCGAAGCTCGACTAATAAAATACTGGACGCAGTAAGGAGGACAAATTTATGAAAGATTAAATCAATTATGTATAATTATGTATTAAGTTATAGTAAAAAAATAACATTTGTTAAAATAAATTCCAAGATCAAGGGAAATAATTCTAGAAATAGTCATGCTAGAGTTATGGACCTTGTCACACAAAATTTGTGTAATGATAAGAAATATATATTTGAAGTTTGAAGTAGATACCTTAAAAAGTAAAGAAGTTATTATATTTCTTAAAGAAAATCCTAAGTTCAAAGAGAGATAAATCTGTAAATATTGCTTCAAGAGTTATGAACATTGTCACATTAAATGTAATTGATGATAAGGAATAAGTATTTGAAGTTTGAGGTAGATACCTTTAAAAATAAAAAAATATTATAAAAAATAACATTTTTCTAGTAAAAAAATCTAAGTTTATGGGGAGATAATTCTTGCAATATTGGTGCTAGAGTTATGAACCTTGTCACATAAGATGTGGATGATGATAACATAAATATATTTGAAGTATGAAGTTGATCCCTTTAGAAATAAATAAGTAACAGTAAAAAATAATATTTTTTATGGAAAATTCTAAGTTCAAAGGGAGATAAATCTGAAAATATTGGTGCTAGAGTTATAAACCTTGTCACATAAGATGGGGATGATGATAACGTAAATATATTTGAAGTATGAGGTTGATTCCTTAAGAAATTAAGAAGAAACAGTAAGAAATAGTATTTTTTGAGGAAAATTCTAAGTTCAAGGGGAGATAAATCTGAAAATATTGGTGCTAGAGTTATGAACCTTGTCACATAAGATGGGGATGATGATATGGTACATATATTTGAAGTATGAGGTTGATCCCTTAAGAAATAATGAAGTAACAGTAAAAAGTAGTATTTTTTAAGGAAAATTCTAAGTTCAAGGGGAGATAAATCTGAAAATATTGGTGCTAGAGTTATGAACCTTGTCACATAAGATGTGGTTGATGATAAGGAACATATATTTGAAGTTTGAAGTTGATACCTTAAGAAATGACAAAGTTATAATGAAAAATATTTTACTGCACCAAAACTTTAATCTAAAATCTGGACGCGGACGCGGACGCAGACGCCGACGCCGGGGCGAGTAGGACAGCTCTCCATATACTTCGTATAGTCGAGCTAAAAACTATTGTATGGCTGCAATGGTAAGTAACTGTATACCTAGTGAATGTACCCACACTTATTGCATTTTTAGTGCATGTGACATCTTAGATATTTTTGTATTGTTTTAAGGTCTTTGGTTATACCTTGTGACATTTTTGTTGACAACCCTTACACAGCATTAATACAAGAATGCCATATACAAGCATACCAAATTTCCTGTTTCTGTTATGATTTATCAAAAAGATATACCACAGTGAGAGATGCATTATCAAAAGTTACAAACCATGAGAAATGTATGCATCATGGGAATGTCTCATAAATAAAATCTGATATATTAAACCATGAGGGGAAATTTAAAACACCATGAGGAATATTCACTACTCAGAATAATAAACTTAAATCATGAGGATGTGTTGTTCTTAAAGAGAAAAAAATTTATTTGATCTACCTTGATCTCTGTTCTCTTGTATTATAATAAGTTGTGAACATTACAGAAAATCCTTTCAATGACTCAGGGAAACAAGATACCAATAATAAATCTATAACTGCCTACTTTAAAGTCACAAATGCATCATAAATATAGGATACACAACTCAAAATCTATTTGAAGCCAAGAGGTCAAAAGATCTTGTGAATTAAGAACATAGATCAATGTTTTATGTTATCTGAAGGATGCATCTCTAAGACAACAAGAAATCCCCAGTATAAACACAGAATCTAGTATTGTAAGCATGATCTCTTCACATTGATTATTTCTTCTAGGAAATGAAATATATAAAATTATGCATATTAGTAAAGTTTGTTGATTTGGGTGGGTTTATTAAGGGACAATTTTGTACTATACTTCAGTGTTAACAAGCAATTATCATAGTATTGCAAGCAATCCATAAGTCCCCTACCGGATAGAACCCCATCAGCATTCTGAAGGGCCATTGGCCATTCACTAATGTGTAAATTTTTCTCTATTTTAAGTAAATTTGTTGGAAATGTTCTTTAAAAGTGATCACAGGAAAAAGTTTTTATGAACAGACAGACAGACGAACTGAAGGACACTCTAAAGTTAATATTTGAAACATCCCTGTTACCAAAATATAACATTTTAAAAAGCAAAATTCTTAAAGAGGAGATAACTCTGGAATTAAAGATGCAATTTCATAAAAAGTTTCAGCTCTTTTTGACTAATCACAAATATTGTTATATTTGCCATGTTTTAAGCCTGTTTGTTGCCAAGGTAACCAATATTTTTTCAAAATAGGAAGAACAGATAAGACATGCATAATCTCAAGACTGCCATCTACCCATATGTCAAGTTTCATAAAAATATTTCCAGTACTTTTTGAGTTATCACTGGATTCAGTTTATGTGTAAAATTTGCCATATTTTCAGTCTATGTGTTGCCATAGCAACCAGAATTTTCAACATAGGAAGAAAAGAAAAAGACCTGTATAATCTCCAGACTGCCATCTACACATATTACAAGTTTCATAAAAATATTTCTATTACTTTTTGCGTTAACACTGGATCCAGTTTATGTGTAAAAATTGCCATATTTTCAGTCTATTTGTTGCCATAGCAACCAGAATTTTCAACATAGGAAGAAAAGAAAAAGACGTGCATAATCTCCATACTGCCATCTATCCATATATCAAGTTTCATAAAAATATTTCCAGTACTTTTTGCGTTATCACTGGATCCAGTTTATGTGTAAAATTTGCCATATTTTCAGCCTATTTGTTGCCATAGCAACCAGAATTTTCAACATAGGAAGAAAAGAAAAAGACGTGCATAATCTCCATACTGCCATCTATCCATATATCAAGTTTCATAAAAATATTTTCAGTACTTTTCAAGTTATCGCGGGATCCAGTTTTGTGGACGGACGGACTGACGGACTGACAGACAGACGGACGGACGGACAGACGGACGGAGGGTAAACCTAAAGTCCCCTCCGGTAAACCGGTAGGGGACTAATTAGGCAATTTCCTTAACCCTTATCATGCTAAATATCTAAAATAGTTTTGTTCCTTTTCAATCATCCATCATTTTTAATGAAAAATTCAAACAACTACTGACAAAGGAACTCTTTTTTTTGAAACATCATTCTTCATTAATAGTTTTTTGCCTTTAATTATCATTATCCATTTATAGTAATTAACATTATCCTTGAATAATCATTCTTCATTAATAGTATTTTGCCATTTTCCAGGAGAAATAGCAAACCAGTTATTACCAGTTTCTCCACAAGTGAAGAAAGTCTACTTACTATTCTCATACAATTTCTGAATCAGTAGTAACAGACAAAATTAATGACCATTTGACTCAAGGTCTCAGATCATTTGTAAAGAAGTGATTTATGCATTGCTCGCCCAAGGATTCAACAAGCCATCCACCAATGATATAAAAATAACCCATTGTAACTGGACTCAAATAACAAAACACGCAAGCTTTACTTAAAGTCTGTAGTTTTATATTTACTTACATCCAAATGTTGTAATATTTACATCAGAAATTGGAAAAATATCATGTACATTTTTAGCAAACAGGGATTTTTCTGATTTATTATGTATCCCAACAGAAGTCAGCAAATTATTATGAATATTTTCACCCACAAAACTTTTTAAAACTGAACATTCAAGTATGTATAATGTTACCATACCAGTTTTTCTACTTTAATATAACATTATGCTGAATCAAATGGTATTCAAATTTCTCTTTATTTCAATGATTCTGAAATATTCATTACATCATCATTGTCATGTGTTTTCAAAACTGGTTTATCTCCCTTTATACTGTCTATAGGACATACCTTTAATCTCAGCCTCAGTTATAAACTATTCAGGACTGTTTTTTTAAATATTTCACAATTCACACTAAAGTCATTCTTCAATACATAATTATTCTTAATAGCAATGAAAACAACCCAAAACTGAGGCTGGTAAAGTATCCTTTGGACAGTGAGTTCCATACTTCAAAACTTGACAAGTTCATTACAAACAAAAAATCTTAACCAGTAGAGATAAAACACAAAAGGTTTGCCCTGCATTCTCCTTCAACCCCTTAATTAATGTCAATCACTGTCTTAGCAAGTTTGAGATTATTTTCAGGGAAAACAAACAGTCTGTGAGTATACTCTGATGATTTCATCTAAAGCTTGACAAAGCTATGAAATTAGTTTATGTCGAGGAAAAATTTCATTAATAATCAATTCCATCGTTTCCTTAGAGGGACAGTAATGACAGACAGGGTGTCTCAAGAAACTTCTAGTCTAAAGACTGATTTAACCAATGAAATTCAATGTGACAAACTGGTATATACCTGAAATAATATAAGAATGACTCTGATTGGATAAGACAGTGCTGGTAAGAAGGACATTGAAAATCCTGTCTTAATAGGTCCAGTTGCCACAAGTATAATTTAAGAGCTAGGTCAGCCTGCATGCCCTTGTAGTCTGTCAAGGTTTTGTACTGTTGGAAGACCAACTTCCAATTTTTATCTTGCTATCACCAAAATTAATAGTGGAGGGTTCCAAAAATGAAAGCTGGACCAGTCCATTTAAGTAATTCAGTTGGATAAAGTTAATAAACTGACACAGTCAGGAATCTTTAAGACTTAAATATCATCAAACTATGATTAAATTACTTGATCTCAATTTTAT